GTAACTTTCTCTTGAATGCCTGAAGTGTTGGAGCATCCACCACCTCCCAAGATCATTGGTTCCATTACTGTACTGCTCTAACAGCTAGGAAGTTTTTCCTGATATTCAATTGTAATCTGGCTTCCTTTAACTTGAGCCCACTGTCGTGTGTCCTGCACTCTGGGATGATCGAGAACAGATCACCCTGCTCCTCCTCTGTATGACAGCCTTTAAAGTATTTGAAAAGTCTTATCGTATCGCCCCTCTGTCTTCATATTTAGAGATGGGCATGAACCAGTTCATCCCAATTCATAAAGGCCTACTCAGCCAGCCAGCCAGTCACCAGGTCCAGCTTGCTTACTCTTTCCACCTCCTCGGCTGATCTCCCAATCAGGAGCAAGAGCACAGACTTCTCTGCCCCGCCCTTTTCTCTGAGTGGGCAATCAGCCAAGAGGGCGGGGCAAAGAAGGCTAAGCTGTTGCTGAGATCGGAAGATTAGTTGAGGAGGGGCCAGAAGCCAGCACACAAGTGGCTGATTGAGCTAGAGGAAGCAGGGGAGGAGAGCAGCCACCTTGCTGAACCAGGCTGAACCGGTTCGTGCCCATCTCTAAATATCATCATGACTGCCCAGAACAGTGCCCTCACTAAATTGGGTGAGAGATAAGCAAAACCACATAACAAATAAAAAATTATATGCACTCCCCATACCCTGGCCATGTTAGCTGGGGATTTCTGAAGTTGTAATTCCCAGAAATAGTCTTCCCAAGCTGCAGCCTCAAAGGAACCCGAGGCATGCAGCATTAATACACCCTGCCCCCCCCCAAATAAAAAATTAAGAGAGAAACCCTGAAAGACTCCTGAGGATGGGAGTACTTAAAAAGGAAGCGGGGGGGGGCTGTTGGGGAGATAATGGAAGAAAACAGCGGAAACAGAAGCTGCAGTGTTTCAGGTAGGTCCAGCCTGTATGCCATGTCTCAAAAGCAAGAAATTGGTAAAACACATAAAATGAAGGGAGGGAAAAGTCCCTCCACAGAAGCTGAAAAAAGCAAATTATAGCAGATGCTATTATAATAGCAAACACATGGTCTCTGGCTCCCTCTAGTGGCCAGTTTATCATAAATACTATCTATTTTGGGGATTTTCCTTTTATTATTTTTAATACGTATTTTCAGACCCTGGATAAGTGAATCAGCGAATACTGACCCTGCAGAGAAGGGGTTCCTACTGTATTTTCAAAGAAAATAAGAATACTAAAAAGGTAAAACTGTAAATGAAAATTTATTTCAGCATAGGAACTTTTTAAAAAGGAAGGAAGTACAGTACAGAGATGGATTTTCTTCACCTGAATAGAAACTCTCCTTGAGGAAACAAAAAAGTTCCACCACCATCTCCTCACTTAAGTGCTCTCCATTTCACGTGGTGAAATGGTTTCCATTTCATTCAAGATGAAATGGAAGAGACAGAGGTGAATCAGGTACATGTATGTCTTTTGAAAGATACAGGAATCCAGTTCTTTTGACAATTGGTGGTGTGGAAATAAATGTCTCACCTGAAAAATCAGTTGCCCCTCATTTTTTAAAAGGAGCGAGGGAATTAAAAAATACAGTAGGACCCTTTTATCCACGGGGTCAGTATCCACTGATTCACATATCTACGGTATAAAAATATTTTTAAAATATTAAAAGAAAAAAAACACCCTATTTTCACATGCATTACCAGAATCAGTCACTAGAGGGAGCTTGAGACCATGCTATGAAGATGAAGATTATATAGCACTGACAGCAAACCTTTTTGGGCCTGAGTGTCCAAACTGGGGTAAAAAAAAACAGCGGGTGATGGGCGGCAGTGGAACCAGAAGGGGCAGTGCGGAACTGGAAGTGGCGGCAGGAGGAGGAATCCTGGGTCACATGCATTACCAGAATCAGTCACTAGAGGGAGCTTGAGACCATGCTATGAAGATGAAGATTATATAGCACTGACAGCAAACCTTTTTGGGCCTGAGTGTCCAAACTGGGGTAAAAAAAAACAGCGGGTGATGGGCGGCAGTGGAACCAGAAGGGGCAGTGCGGAACTGGAAGTGGCGGCAGGAGGAGGAATCCTGGGCACGGAGGTGCCTCAAGACCCGACCCCACAGTGGTTTATAGCTTGCGTGCCCGCAGAGAGTACTCTGCATGCCAGGTGTGGCACGCGTGCCATAGGTTCACTGTTATACAGCATGGTCTCTGGCGCCCTCTAATGTCCAGGTCTGATAATGCACTGCTGTTATACAGCATGGTCTCTGGTGCCCTCTAATGTCCAGGTCTGATAATGCACGTGAAAGTCTTTTTTTCTCTCCTTTTACCATGCTTTCTCTCTCTCTCTCCAGCATTTGTGATTATCCACGTTTTTTGGTATCCACAGGGGCTTGGAACCAATCCCCAGCAGAGATGGGGGTCCTACTGTACTCAAAAGTCTGCTCTTTTCATAGACAACAGGAACGCAACATTTGATTTTGTTTTGTTAAGCCGAAAGTCTGCCAGGAAATGGAAGACGGACACGGACAGGCTACAGTGACTCACCTGGTGAGGCCTGAACGTCAGGCCCATTCATAGAGAGAGGGGAGGTTAACACCAATGCAGCCACAAAAGCCGAGTTGTTTCAACAGGATTCCAGCTAACAAGAACATTTTCTCTTTCTCTCTCTTTAAATACCTTCTCATCAGGATACCAACTCAAAACTGCTACTCCCGAAGTTGTTGGCCAAAGCTGACCCTGCTAGGAGATAGGGAGATGATGGCCTCAGGTGGCAGATAATGGAGGACAGCGACTTGGCTGTTCTTATGTTTCTTTCCCCAGGTCTTCTCCTCTGTTAGAGGACAAGGTAAATCTCACAGGACCTGTCTTGGACTTCCTAAGTCACCTGAATTTCGTTGTATGTGTATATACTTACAATGACAATAAATTACTATTATTTAGAGGATGCTGCTGTGTTGCCAGTTTTGAAGGAATATTCTCCCAGGGCTTGGAAGTAATGCATTAAAATATTATGTTACCCACAACAAGTTCCTTGTGGTGGATTACAACTGCCCAACATCACCAACCCTGATCCAGATCAGGCGAGTCCAAATGTTCCTTTGTCCCCAACACGCATAGGAATCCCCACATTCGCCATCATTAGGTGTGAGATATTCCACTTTCAACCTCAAAACAGATCTCTTCTCTTGGGAGTCCTTCTTTCACTAGCTTTTCTTTAAACCAAAATGCGAGCCACATGGGATGAGCACAGGTTCTCTTGGGAGTCCTTTCACTAGCTTTTCTTTAAACAAAATGCGAGCCACATGGGATGAGCACAGCTTCTTGTCAAATCATTCCATTATTCTGGGAAAACTCCCAGAAGTATTAATGGTGTGAATTCCACAGCAGCCGACAGACCTCGTATAGCTCTGAAACGCCCTACCATCGTGGTTCCCAAACCTTGGGAACCCTAGATGTTCTTCGGACTTCAACTCCCAGAAGCCTTCACCCCTAGCTGTGCCGGCTGGGATTTCTGGGAGTTGTAGTCCAGGAACCTCCAGGGACCCAAGATCCAGAACCACTCACTGCTCTAGAGCTCATATTAGATGCCACAGCGCTCTATGACATGCCCAAAACTACACCATAAAAGCTTTCAGGAAGGTTTCAGAATTGCGAGCAGGATTTCAGGAAAGTCACCCATGACGTTGCCTGGTTTGAATTTCCTTTAAAAGAACAGAAGTAGGACAGGAGGTGAGGGCTCTTTCTGAGGGCATGGAAGGCTATTCAGCCTAGAAGAGTTAACGTGCATGTGTAATTAGCACAGAATGTGACGAGTTGACACGGATGGATCAATCCAAGGCAATAGTAGCAAGGACCCAAGCTATTGGTCAGTGCAGACCCTGAAGCTTGAACTATTATGGGGGCTCATTTGCAACCAGCAACGAGGTCTGGGAATCGCTGTTCCCTTCTTCAGTGGGGCTGTTCACCACAAAGGACCACATTTTTTTAAAAAAAGTATGGACTCCAGTTGCTTCTGGGGCCCCTCCGGGATTCAGGGCCTGAAGCTTAACCTGCCTTCGCTTCATTATAGAGCGACTCTTGCTCTGGATTCAACAGCAAACATCTGGTCAACGTCTGGACAGAAAATCAGATGGGGATGAACTTTTGCCCTTTCCCTCAGGCAGCAAAATATCTTTGGCCACATCCTGTTTGCATGTTTGCACCAGTTTCAGGCAAAAAAAAAAACCCAAATAATTTTTAAAATAAATATTCACATAGAAACTCCCTCGATGAAAGATTCCTCCTTCCATACATTAACTTCTTCCAGATCTGCGATTCCACTCCACCTCATTTTCCCTAGGCTTGCTCAACAAAGCATCCCAACCTAAACTAAATCCTCCATGTCTATTTTTTGTTTGTTTTAAAGCACCCACCTTCCCATTCCTATATTTTGACCAGGTTATACGATCAGCAAAACCCATGAATAATGCCATTTTGGACTCTACCACTTCCAGCTGGAAAGGGGGGGAAGAACCCATATGCTTGTATACTTCTCGAGGTGGGAGAATGGGGGGTAAACCTATATGTGGATCAAGAAGACAGCCTCAAACTGGCTGTTATGCCCTTACATGTCATTTATCTACCGCCGAGGATATTTTTTAATGTTTTGTTTGTTTGTTTGTTTCGCATTTTGGGCAATATTCTTCCCTGTTAAGACTTATTCTGGTGCAGACTAACATGGAAGGACAGATCCTGAAGCTGAGGCTCCAGTACTTTGGCCATCTAATGAGAAGAAAAGACTCCCTGGAAAAGACCCTGATGTTGGGAAAATGTGATGGCAAGAGGAGAAGGGGACGACCGAGGATGAGATGGCTGGACAGTGTCTGCGAAGCAACCAACATGAACCTGACACAACTCCGGGAGGCAGTAGAAGACAGGAGGGCCCGGCGTGCTCGATTTACCAAGTGACTCTGTAGATTTGACAAACTTGCTTTTTGGTTAGTTAAGAACAAAGGAAGGGAAAACATATTTTAAAAAAGAACCTAAAGATGTATTTCTGCTTTCCACTGTCTTTCAGGCCCTCTAGGGATCATCCACATTGGAACCTAAGCCATACATATACAATATCTTAAAACCCAAGGCTGTAGATTTGGGACAGGGACAACAAATTGGAATTTCTAGAGTTAAGGTTATGAAATGAAACTACAGGTTCCACCTTCCTCCCCCCCACCCCAGTCTCCAGCTTTATGGCATCTCACTGCTGGGAAGCTGATGGCCCTCAAGAGATTCTAAGTTCTGCTTGCAACTTTTTCGCAAGAGTGCTTTGCTTCCCGCTGGACAGAACTGGTCCCTTTTCAAAGTGGGATTCGACCATTCGAATTCTTATCATTGTGCAGGTAACCCAGAAATACAAGGCAAAGCGGTCAGGTTTAGATTCGAAAGCTCAGATCTCTCTTGGCTGATTTTTAGGGCTTCTTTTGCACTTTCAACCGTCCTGTTTCAACCTGGAGGTGGCGCTCTTACTTGCAGACTGAAAAAAAAAGGAGGGAAAACGTCCAAAGGTCTGGCCTACAGCCAGGTGAGGCATTTAAGAAACGAATTTATCCATCTGCATTTTGATGTGTACTCAATTCATCAATCTCTGTGGAGCAATTGATCCGCAGTTACTAAGTTCCACCCGTTTCAGTTTGGAGGGAATGATAAAACCCCTATTTGTTTTAAAACTGGTTTATGTTGGTGGCTTGTTCTGGGGCGGGTTGGGGGGTAGAGAGATTTAATTGCTATTGCACAAGTGCTCAAAAATGGTCCTTCCAGAGAACGGAAGAGCAGCCACTAACAAAGAACCGAGTCCTATTAAGAAAACAGGAAGTAAGGAGAATTGCTTAGTCTCTTCTGAGTTTTGTCAGACTGAATCTTCAGGAATGACCTTCTGTGTGGATTCTCTGATGGCTAATGAGGTTAGAGCTCTGTGTAAAGCTTTTTCCACAGTCTAAGCATCGGTAAGGCTTCTCCCCTGTGTGTGTCCTCTCGTGAGCCACGAGGCTGGAGCTGCCACGGAAACTCTTCCCACAGACGGAGCACTGGAAGGGTTTCTCCCCCGTGTGGATCCTCTGATGCGTGATGAGGTGTGATTTGTAACTGAAGCTCCTCTCGCACACCATACACTGAAAAGGCTTTTCTCCTGTGTGGATTCTCCGGTGGGCGCTAAGGCGTGAGCTCACGCTGAAGCTTTTCCCACACTCCCCACAGTGATACGGTTTCTCACCGGTGTGGATTCTCTCATGGCTCACCACCTCAGAGCTGCGCAAGAAGCTCTTCCCACAGAACGAACACCGATAGGGCTTCTCCCCAGTGTGGGCTCTCTCGTGGGCAAGGAGATCCGAGCTTTCGCTGAAAGTTTTGCCACAGTCCAGACATACAAACGGTCTCTCCCCTGTGTGGCTCCTCTGGTGCTTCCTAAGGCGTGAGCTCACACTAAAGGTTTTCCCACATTCCGAACATTCGTACGGCTTTTCTCCTGTATGGATTCGCTGGTGGCTGTTGAGATACGAGCTCTGGCTGAAGCTTTTGCCACACTCCAAACACTTGTACGGCTTCTCCCCTGTGTGGATCCGGTGATGCGTTATGAGATTCGAGATATCGCTGAAGCTCTTCTCGCACACCGAGCACTGGTACGGCTTGTCCCCGGTGTGGATTCTCTGGTGACTAACCAGTCCCGAATTGCGACGGAAGCTCTTACTGCAGTACAAGCATTTGTACGGCTTCTCTCCAGTATGGGTTCGCTCGTGAGCGATCAAACCTGACTTCACGCTGAAGCTTTTAGCACAGTGAGTGCATTTGTAGGGCTTCTCTCCTGTGTGAGTCCTCCGATGAGCAATGAGGCTCGAGCTCACGCTGAAGCTTCTCCCGCAATCGGAGCACGTGTAGGGTTTCTCCCCCGTGTGGGTTCTCTCGTGGACGATCAGCCGTGAGCGAAGGCTGAAGCACTTTCCGCACACGGGGCACTTGTGAATTTTCTCTCCTGCCGCGTCGGAACCTGGACTGAAGGTTTCTTCACATACTTTCATGGGCACCTCACCATCACTGGGGGTTTTTTCCGTTGCAGTCATTGGGAGATCTTCATAGCCACCCATCAATGGAATAGTTTTTTGGACTCTTTTCCTCAGAGGCTTTTTTGGCGGTTTCTCTAGTTTCTGATGACTTTCAGATGCATCTCCTTGCCCACAAAAGAGGGGAAACATATCTCCAGTAACGTCCCCCGACGGCCCATGCGTTTCCTCGTGATCGCTTTTCTGCAGCTCCGGACTCTCCACATCGTTCTCACTCTTGTGAAGATTATCTGAGGGAACAGGGAAAACCCCTGAAGAAACAGAAGAGGATGAGTATCACCAGTCTCCTTGGGTAGGCCACCAGGTGTATCAAACTCATTTATAAACAGATCCTGTGTGCAGTGACTGAAATCCTGTAGCTGTAACTTAAGCTGCTTAAGGCTGTTGATGTCATTAGCACTTTTTTTTGGAAATTAAATTTTTCTGATTACCCACCCACAAAATGTTCTGAGGCTCCTTTGGGATCTGTCTTGTCATGGGTTGGGGGAAACAGAATCGGGGAGAGGTTTTTAATTTCCAAAAATCACCCTCACAGATACAGTCATTCTGGTGGCAATGTTCGTAAAATAAAGACTGCTTCTACTGCTTCATGGCCCCCAACATTTTCCCTATAAGAAAAGGAACCCCCAAGAGGGGGTTCAAGACCTTTGGGAGAGGTTAGAATCAGAAATTTTTATTTTATATATTGCATATCTCACAGGCAATAACATTATCAGCCTTACACAGTGTAAATTATGCAGCTCAGTTTCAACCAGAGGATATTGTGGCAATACGCATTACATAAGACAAAGTAAATGATTCTTCAGTGCAGATGCTAAAATAGCTTTCACCTATAAAAGGCTTGATTGGCATTGATACTGGCACCATTTCAATGCCAAGTCGAAACATGCTTATTTACCAAATGTTTTGCAGGGCTGAAGATCTTGGCCTGCGTAGGTTTTAATGCAATGGTTTAATGTTCTAATTGTACATATTTCAAACAGTTTTAACGTTAAACTGTTTTAAATATTTTACGTTTTTAAATCATCTTACACAGCTCAGTCACCTGCTCTTGAGATCTTGCAAGATAGGGCAGGCTGTCAATGTTTTAAATCCATGCCTCTGTCCATCCCTATGTGGCTGTCATTTCTTTTTTAATTTCTTTCATATATTTTTACGCTGCCTTTCTCCTTAAAAAGTACCCAGGGGAATTTACATCTTTCAAAGACAACATATAAAGCTAAAAACAGTTAAGTATAGAAATACTAACAAACACACACCACACCACAAAATGATAAACAAAAACAACACCAAAAACACATTCAGAGAAGACCCTCTCCCAGGTGCCCACCAAATGGACCTGTGAAGGTGGGGGAACCAAGATTCTCCCCTGATTATCCTTTTTTTTACTGCAGTGTTTGTTTGATCCTTCTTAGTATTTGTATACTTACTGTTTGTATACTTGTACAGTGGTGCCTCACACAACGATGTTAATTGGTTCCAAAAAAATCAACGTTGTGTGAAACATCGTTCTGTGAAACACCATTTCCCATAGGAATGCACTGAAAACCGGTTAATCCGTTCCAATTGGAACAGATTGCCATCGCTGAGTGAAAATCCCCATAGGAAACATCGCTGTGTGAAACAATGTTTCCTTCATTGGAATGTATTGAAGCCGACTCAATACACGATGTCTCTTTTTCGTTCCTGTAAAAGTGTCTTACAATGCTTGGAAGCCGTTTTAAATGCTTGCACTGGTTAGCCCACTTCCTGAACCCTATGAAAACTGATTTTGGTGTTGTTCTGACACTTCGTTAATTTATGATGATTTTTTGAATTTTCTCCATTGGAAACCATTGGATGGTCTGTCTAATGGTTTCCAATGGAGAAAACAAAAAATCATCATAAATTAACGAAGTGTCAGAACACCAAAATCAGTTTGCATAGGTTTCAGGAGGTGTGCTAACCATTGCAATCATTTAAAACAGCTTCCAAACATTGTAAGACACTTTTACAGGAGCGAAAAGGGAGATCGTTGTGTGAAAATCCCCCATAGGAAACATCGCTGAGTGAGGCAGCAAATTTAACAGAAAAAGGCATCGTTGTGTGAATTCATTGTTGTGTGAGGCACCCGTTGTGCGAGGCACCACTGTATACTGTTTTTAGCTTTTAAATGCTGTATTTTAATGATGTAAGCTGCCCTTGGTCCTCTTTAAAGAGAAAGACAGGGTAAACATTTTTCAAATGATAAATATTACCGGCACATTATGCAGGATTATTAAGCTCTTTTGCTTCTCCGCCAAAGTTCACTTGCCACAAGATTTTGAACTGAACTTGCTAATATGTCAGGATCAAACTAACCCACCAGCTGCCATCATCTGCTCACCTAATCCTTAGGTAAACTGGAGGTACTAGAGAGGAAGGAAGCCTGGACGTTGCTACTTAAAAGACAGGTGCTCCACCACTGACCTGTTGTCGTTACATACCGTCAAGGCTGCCTCCAACTTAGGGCAATCCTATGTATGGATGATGTCCAAAAAGTCTTATAATTCACAACCTTGCTCAGCTCCTGCAAATCGAAAGCCGTGGCTTCCTTTATTGGGTGCCCCCTCCCCTGAACCTCCCCTGCAATGATTCTTTGATGTATATCCGTGCATCCAGCTTGCTGTATAACAAGAGAGTCATTTTAACCACCTTAGAACTGCCGAGCGGAAAGGGACCCTGTGGATCATCCAGTCCAACCCCTGCCGAGGAGGCAGAAGCGGGGAATCAAACTCCCAGCCTCTGGCTTCACAGCCAGAGACCCAAACCACGGAGCTATTCAGCAGTTCAGACTCACGGGGCCCTTTACAGGAGAGATGACATGATACCAAAAAGATATTAGCTCCATGAGTTGCTGTGGGAGCTCAGCATCGGACCTCGTAACTGAGGGGTGAGCAATTTCCGAGGTTCTGGGGCCATTGCTTTTCCTCCCCCAGAACCTGGAGGGCTGCTCCCCTCTGACACCCCTCTCTCCCAACTGGCTCAAAAACCAAAGATCATGTATCTCCGAGATACCTCGTTGCCATTCAAGGGTTCTCTGGATTTCAACTTTAAATATGAAAAAAACAAATTGCAAGGAAACGTAACATTTATAACAGATGGAGCACTTTACCTAAGCTGGTATTGTTCACAGGACGTTCCTGCTTGACCTCGAGAGACGTCCGCCCCTGGTCACCGTCTGATGGAGCTTCGTCCCCATTTGGGGAGCAACCTTCAGTCTCTTCTAACAATCCTGGCACCTAAAAGTAACAAAGGATTAGAAAACAGAAAGGTTAGATTTCTCTGGACTACCAATCCCAGAATCCCTCAGTCAGCAAGGTTTAAACTCTGTCACCTGTATTTCGATTGTTCAGACGCACTTCATTCCTGAGGACATGTGGAATCTGCTTATCTGGGCTCAGACGTCCTTCTCGCCTCCGAAGAAAGGTTGGTTAAACAATGACAGGGAATCCTCAACATCCAGACCTTTTGCATTCTGATTTCCCTGCGCAGCCTGCATAATTAACTTGTAAATTGCCCAGAGAGTGCTTTAAGCACTATGGGACGGTATACAGTGGTGCCTCGCTTAACAACGATAATCCGTTCCAAGAAAATCGCCGTTAAGCGAAAACATCGTAAAGCGAAATTAAAAACCCCATTGAAACGCATTGAAACCCGTTCAATGTGTTCCAATGGGGTAAAAACTCACTGTGCAGCGAAGATCCTCCATACGGCAGCCATTTTCGCTGCCTGTATAGCGAGGAATCAATCCTAAAACACAGTGGGGAGCCATTTTAAGCACCTGGTGGCCATTTTGAAAACCCGACGATCAGCTGTTTTCGATCATCGTAAAGCAAAAATCGGTTCCCGAAGCAGGGAACTGATCATCGCTAAGCAAAATTCCCCCATTTAGACCATCATTTTGCGGATTCGTCGTAATGTGGGGCAATCATTAAGCGAGGCACCACTGTATACACGGCAGGCTTTGCTTCCCCCCATCTGTACAAACTAAAGCATGGAAAGTGACTTTAAAGGTAGCATGTGGCTGTTACACAGTACAGTACTGCGTTTGAAAAGCACCTCATTGCTTTTACTTGTTGCATTTGAAAAGCACCTCATTGCTTTTACTTGTTCCATCACTGAAAAAGTACCTTGTTACAGTATAGGTTGGGCTGCTTTTTACTTTCAATTAATTTGCCTCCTCAGCCTACGTACATCTCTAGTTTGTAAAACATCCTGTTGCGATAAATCTAAAAATGACTTAAAAGAATTATTGGTGGGCCCCCGGGTCAGTTCTAACTTACGGTGACCCTTTTCAAGGTAGAGAGTACCCTTCCCTTCCTATGGGAGTATTTCTAGGACTGTGCAGCTGGCCCAAGGCCACCCAGGCTGGCTTCACTTCCCCAGAGGCACAGTGGGGGAACTGAACTCCCAACCACTGGCTCCGTAGCCAGAGATCTAAACCACTGAACCAGCCAACCAAAGTACCCTTTAAAAGTAACCGTTGGAAGTAACTGTTGGCCTGAAAGCCCCCCAAGCACCACCACGTAGCACTTATCCAGCCCAGTTGACCAAAAGGAGCATCTATGGGTCAGGAAGGGAGAGACTCGGTGACCTCTGTTCCCTCCTTTGTCTCTCGTTAGACCGATATGCACAGGTCTGCTCTGTCCATCCCGCTTCTCCTCCTTTTGCCCTTTTCTGGGTGCCTTCTATGTTTATTTAGTTAGAATTAAGGTTTAAACTAGATCCTGAAGCTGAAGCTCCAATACTTTGGCCATCTCATGAGAAGAGAGGACTCCTTGGAAAAGACCTTGATGTTAGGAAAGTGTGACAGCAAGAGGAGAAGGGGACGACAGAGGACGAGATGGCTGGACAATGTCATCGAACCAACCAACATGAATTTGACCCAACTCCGGGAGGCAGTGGAAGACAGGAGGGCCTGGCGTGCTCTGGTCCATGGGGGTCACGAAGAGTCGGACATGACTAAACGACTAAACAACAACAAAGGGTTTAAATTCTTCTACCTTGAATATAATAATCATTTGTTGTTTGTTTTAACTGCTTCTACTTCCTTTAAACAAAGGGTTTAAACTCTTCTACCTTGAATATAGGGACGTGGTGGCGCTGCAGGCTAAAACCGCAGAAGCCTATGCTGCAGGCTCAGAAGACCAAGCAGACATAAGATCGAATCCATGTGCCGGAGTGAGCTCCCGTCGCTTGTCCCAGCTCCCGCCAACCTAGCGGTTCGAAAGCATGCAAATGCAAGTAGATTAATAGGGACCACCTTGGTGGGAAGGTATCAACATTCCGTGTCTAAGTCGCACTGGCCATGTGACTACGGAAGATTGTCTTCGGACAAAAACGCTGGCTCTATGGCTTGGAAATGGGGATGAGCCCCGCCCCCTAAAGTCGAACACGACTGGACAAAAATTGTCAAGGGGAACCTTTACCTTTACCTTTACCTTGAATATAATAATCATTTGTTGTTTGTTTTAACTGCTTCTACTTCCTTTATAGCTAGTTGGATACCTCAGTCCTTTAGATACCCGGCTGCAGAGCCAGAGGTTGGGAGCAGTCCGACTGGGCCTCTTGTGAGTAGAGCCAGCCTGGCTGGCCTTGGGCAAGCTGCACAGTCCTGGGACACCCCAAAAGGGAATGAAAAACCATTCCTGTGTATTCTCTACCTGGAAAACCCTGAGAAAGGTTGCCATAAGTCAGAATTCACTTGATGGCAGATGATTATTATTATTTGCTATACAGCGGGACCAACAGCCCACATGTCTACATGTTTACTCTGCTACTGAGAGAAGCATTAATACTCCTTTTCCCTTCTTACCTTGTGCACAACAAATTAGGATCTGTTACTCATTACACAAAGTAACTCTAATCCCACTTGTTATCCTCGTTTTCAAACGTAGGTTCACTACGCAATCGTTACCCTAAAAAGTAACTACAGATAACCATGTTACAAATAACTGTGTTACCTGTAATTAGTTATTTCAAAGCTTTGGTATAAATATGTGCCTAGTTCAGGTGACACTCTGTGCATGTAATGAAGTGGGCTGTAGTTCACAAAATGTCAATGACAAATAAAATTAGTTCATCTTTAAGGTGCCACAAGGTTTTCTTACAGAATTATATACAGTGGTGCCTCACAAGACAAATGCCTCGCGGGACAAAAAACTCGCAAGACGAATGGTTTTGGTGATGGGGGTTGATGACCCGCAAGACAAATGTTCCTATGGCTGTGCTTCACAAGACGAATGTTTTCCCTTTTTTGTTCCTGCCTCGTGTTTGCTGATTTTTAAATCTTTTTCTCTGATGTTTAAAAAGTTAAAGTTTTTTTGATTGAAAATATATATGGCTTTAAAGAGCACTTAATAAACCCTTTGTAAACCGAATGTGACTTTGTTCTGACTTGTTTTGCCCATAGGAACGCATTAATTAGATTTCAATGCATTCCTATGGGAAAACACATTTCGCAAGATGAATTTTTCGCAAAACATTAACTGTGGAATGAATTAAATTAGTCTTGCAAGGCACCAGTGTAGTTGGGAGAGTTGGCTGGATAGCTCAGTGGTTTGGGCATCTGGCTGTGGAGCCAGAGGCGGGGAGTCTGATTCCCCCACTGAGCCTCCTGCGAGTAGAGCCAACCTATGTAGCCTTGGGCCAGCTGCACAGTCCCAAGTCTCCTCCCTAGAGGAAGGGAAGGGGAAACCACTTCTGAGTATACCTGGAAAACCCTGAAAAGGGTGGCCGTCAGTCAGAAATGACTTGACAGCACATGATTATTATTATAGCTGAAAGACAATCTTAAAGAGATTACCTAGTCAATATAGGAATCTGGCAACTATGCTAGATCCCTGACTGGAACTATACCTCCTAGGCCAGAAAGATCTCACCTGCTGTGCTGGCCTCTCAGCTTCTTGTTGCTTCAGGAGGAAATCCTCTGCCAACGTCACTGCCTGAGCGCAGGTCTCCGGGCAGCCATCTTTGACCCAGCTCTGGATCTCTTGGGGCAGGATGGCCAGGAACTGCTCCAGGATCAACAACTCCAGGATCTGCTCCTTGGAGTGTCTCTCTGGTTTCAGCCATCGGTGGCAGAGGAACCAAAGCCGGCTGCAGGCTTCACGGGGCCCGTCGGCTTCTCGGTACTGAAAACGCCGGAAGTGCTGCCGCTGGACCTCAGTGCTGATCGCGTCCACCCGCAAGATGGCCGCCTTCACCTTCCCAAAATCCCCCACGTCTCTTTCCTCAAATCTCTGCCCTTCCTCTATGAGTCCTGTGATGAGCGGGGACATCCATTTCCCTGGCTCAGTATTGACTGCCTTTTCAACAGAAGTCAGAAATATATCGTCCCAGCGTGGGGGGTCCGGGAGCAGGGGCTGTTCTGGTTCCAAAGGAGCCATTTCCATCATCTCCATGGTGGGTTCTCGTTTACATACTGTAATAGCTTCATCTTTAACCAGGTCTATGTTGTTGCTCATTCCCGTTCCCCTCGAAACATGTTGAGGACTTGGGGGGCTCGGCTCCGCCATTTTCTCATTGGCTTGTTCCATGGGAAAGTATTCCCGGAAACCCAACGGGACGGCCACCTCCTCATCCTCCCTCGAAGCCATTCCTTCTTGCTCAGATCGCTTCCGCCTCAGTGCCGACTCTTTGTCGTTTTTGGGTCAGGTAGCCAAAATCAACAGTGGTGGGCCGAGAAGGTTATGGTCGGGGCCCACCTTTGGCTACACAAATCTGTGTGACAAAAAAAAGAGAGCATAATTTATTTTTCCATTGAGTTAAATGGTCTGTGGAGAAGCACTGGGCTTTAATGCTGTGCTTCCCATCCTTGGGTAACCCAATAATTCTTGGGCTGCAATTCCCAGAAGCCTTCATGACCAAAAACTTTAGACAGCAGTTGTTGTTGTTGTTGTTGTTGGATTAATGGCTTCCAAAAGATGCTATCAGGTTATGCAAGCCGAAGGCCATGGCTTCCTTTCTGCAATCTATCCCTCTCATATTGAGGGATCTAAAGTATACTAAAGGATATTTTAAGTACTATTTAATTACATATTGTGACGGACAGCTCACACGTCACTCCTGTCCGTCAGGTTAGAGCTCTGGTGTGGGAGCCTATGACAGAACAGGAGGAGCAGAACTAACGGAACTAAGAGGGGGGAAAATGACAGTTAGAGCAGTTAGGGAGTTGGACAGTTAGAGAGGAGATGAGACAGAGATATCTAGGGAGAGATTGAAAAAGTTAAGAGGAATAGTTAGGGAAGGATAGAAAACAAGAACTTGGAAAGTTGGTGCGGTTGAGATTGGAAAGAGTTTAAAATGCTCAGAAATAAATAAATAGTTGAATATAGTAATACCATGATTAAAGTAAATCTACATAAGCAAACATAAATGTAATCAAAGCAACGTTTATTGAATGAATAATAAAAGCCCATCCATGATTCCCTTTATCTGATTTACCTACAAACCCATAAATAAACATTGTTATTGTGCTGTCCTCTGAAGATGCCGGCCACAGAGACTGGCGAAACGTTAGGAAGAACAACCTTCAGACCACGGCCAAAGAGCCCGACAAACCCACAACAACCAAACACTGTTATATTTGACAACACTGATCCAAACTTTTCGCTTTTCACTTTCAAAAGCGAACTGGCAGCGAAAGAGGGTGAAGAGTACATGTCCTGCCCGAAAGGGAAGCTGGGTGTGTAGAACAACAAACAGGAGAACTGGGGGTGCGTGACACATATATATCCTGCATTTTAAGTGCAAATGGGTGTTCCCCAGGCTGCTCACAAAGCAGTGAAAAACGATGGGGTAGATCCAGTCCTCCTTCTAGAAAAGGACACAAAGGGTGGATCAAATGCCACTCTGCCCTTTTGTTTCCCCACCCCACCCCCAGCAGGGGTTGCTCACCTTGGGTCAGCCAGGTGTCCTTGGGACTGCAACCCCCAGAAGCCTTCACCACCAGCTGTGCTGCGAGGGGTTTCTGGGAGTTGCAGTCCAAGAACATCTGGCTGACCCAAGGTGGGCGACCACAGGTCTAGATGTTAGGGAAACTTCAAGTGCAGATTGTGGGTATGAAGACGAGTCTTCAACATTCTGTATCCTGGAGGGATTTCACAGCGAATATGAATCATCATCGTGTGCCAAGTCAGTTCTGATTTATAGTGACCCTTTTCAGGGTTTTCCAGGTAGTGAAGATTCAGAAGTCGGTTCCCATTCCTTTCTTCAGGGGATGCTCTGGGACTGTGCAGCTTGTCCAAGGCTACCCAGGCTAACTTTACTTTGCAGTAGGCACAAGGGGGAATTGAACTCCCAAACCTCTGGCTCCACAGCCGACTACCTAACATGACCCAATGGGGAAATAGGGTCCAAATTCTTTAACTGTTACAGAAACATATATTATTTTTTTTCTGACTACTGATTTCTTAAGACTTGCCTTTTAATTCATCTATTTATTGCACTTGTGTCTTTCAACTGCAGTTCACAGCTGATCATCATCAGTGCAACACGTGCAATTTTAAAGAACAATAGAAGATTCCTAGCCCTAAAAGACACAGCAACCAGAACGTAAATCCAGAAGCCGGCTGGACCCTCATGACCCAATGGGAAAATAGGGTCCACATTTTTTAACTGTTACAGAAACATATTTTAATTTTTTTCTGACTACTGATTTCTTAAGACTTGCCTTTTAATTCATCTATTTATTGCACTTGTGTCTTTCAACTGCAGTTCACGGTTGATCATCATCAGTACGACACGTGCAATTTTTAAAAAACAATAGAAACTTCCTAGCCATAAAAGACACAGCAACCAGAACGTAAATCCAGAAGCCGGCTGGACCCTAATACATATCTGCCCCAAGGCTACAAAGATAAAGGAATTTCTGGAAAGAAAACTACTTAACTTCCCATATATTGTATATTGCCTATTTCACGGTCTTGACAGTCAATATTATTTTTAGCCCATTATTATAGTTGTGAGGCTTGAGGCTGCAAGGCACTGAATGAGCTTCAGAGATAACATCCCAACTCAAGTTATCTCAGATTAAAGTTTCAAACCAATATGCTTCACCAGATTTAATTTATTCATTGATTCCATTAATGTTGCCCTTTCTCCAAGCAGCATAGGGGGACTCATCCCCTGATCTTGTTTTATCCACCCCCTGTGAGGTAGATCAGATAGAGATATAACTGTGATCAACCTTCAGTCTCACTGGGTGTGCCCTGAAGCCTGAGGTGGAACTTGAACCCAGCTCTTCCCACACTCTCTACACCAGCCTTCTCCAAAGTGTCTGTGGGTTCTGGCTGGGAATGATAGCGACTGTAGTCCCGACACCCCTGAAAGCCAGCAGTTTGAAGAGGGCTGGTCTAACCACTGTACCTCGTTTGACTCCTAACGGGCAGAACTCGGGACGCTTAAAGTAACGATCCTGAGTCCCGTTACCCAGAAGCACACACACACACACACACCCCTTTTGACACAGTGGGATTGACTTCTGCCACGACCCGACCCAGGCTTGCATTGTTCCCAACCAGTTTCAGGCACGATCCACTCAGAAGTCAATCCCACTGTCTGTCCTTCATGGAGTGAAAGGGAGACGGATGATGATGATGATGATCTTGTGGATGATGCTGGCGAGGGTGATGATGAAGGAAAGAAGCCAGCGAATTAATTTTTCTTCTTTTTTTCTTCTTTTTTCCCCCCCAGTTTCCCTCCTTTACGGATCAGTTACTGACATTAAAATAATTAATGATGCATTAATTTCCCCCATTCATGAGGGCAATAACTCACCTTTGCAACGAGATCACTCCCCCACCCCTCGCGTGCCTCCTGCACAGCCCTAGGAAGCGGGAGGTTCATACAAAATGCAAACCGCCTGCCCGCGCGCCCCCCCTCCTCCCGCCCCCCTCCTTTACAACTAACCTCTTTTCTCCTCCCCTCCAGGAACAGGAAGGAACATGCAAGCCTTCGAACGGCCTCTCTCTCTCTCTCTCTCTCTCTCTCCTCCCTGGTCTCTCTAGCAACGACCAACTTGGTCACTTTAACCCTTAGCGGGGGGCTCTCTCACTG